AGTCCCCAGACGCTATAGGTCTCGATAGCCGGGCACCATCAGCCTTCTTCACCACACTTACTTATGCACACATTCGTCTTCAGCGTTTATGTGGGGAAGGTGGTCACACAATGATGGTTTTTGTTCTTTGGTGTCTGCTCCCTGTTCCCTTCAACACCTCGTGTTCGCACAGGCTCGTGTGCTTCTTCTCTGTGGACTTTGTTGTTTCCGAGCTCGATGGCCGCTTGTTTGCCTACAAGCCTTTAAGACCCCAGACGCTATATCTTTTGATAGTCGGACACCATCAGTCTTCTTCACCACATTGACATATTTCTTAACAGTGGAATTGTGAAAGTTAAATGTATGGTGTTAGTACAAAAGAAGATCAATAAATATTTGGCTACTTTTTATCTTTTCACTCTTTTTAATAGGACATTTTTAATTAAGCAATTAAGACAGCCTATCTCAACTGGTTTCTAAGTAGATAAAGTCTGCCATTGTATTCCTCTTCCACTTTAAAAAGTACTCAGTTATTTAATTTTCTTGTTTTTTTAGATAAATGTAAATTATTATTTTTACTTAAAACTCTACTTTTTCTTATATTAATTGCCAAAGTACTTATTGGTATACTTTTTAATCAACTAACTGAATTCAGTTTAATGCCAACATTCATATCCACTTTCATTTTGGGCCTTTGGGTCTCTTATGTTACTTTTACATCAGTTTAGAACTTTAAACTCTTATCTTGGGGGTATAGATATATGTAGTAGCTGTAAGAATTTGAACTAGGCTGCCCAATTACTTCTGAAGTAACTACTGGAATAAAAATCTTAGTTTTTCACAGTTGCAACTCAAAAGAACACCAAAGGAAGTCCTCAATGATGTAAGTTTGCAGTACACTGTGAGTTCAGTGTCAGATTAAAGAGTGGTTTTAATAAATTTAATTCAAGAAGTAACAACTCTGAGCTCCATTCTGTGCAAAATTTTTCATCACCTTTTTTTCTTTTGGGTGAGAATGGGTTTGGGTTAGGATAGAAAATAGCTCAAGAAGAGGATATGATTCCCAGACAAAGTTGATGAATGTAACATAGTTTCTATAAATCTTCATCATAGAAAATATTCCTGAAGTTGTTGCTCAAAATACAGATTACCTAGAGATGCGCTCATAGGCTATGAGGAAATCTATTTTCCATGATCAGACTCTCAAGACTTGTAAGCTTTTAGCAGCTACTTCTCATGCAAAGGCTCTAGGAAACATATTGTAAAAAAGGCCCATATCTTCAGAAATAAATGCATCTCATTTAGAAGACAGACTTTCTACCAATGAAGAAAAACGGAGGTAAGAGTCGGAAACTGCATAAAACTCCTGAAGAAAATTGAAGTTTAGCAGACACTTCTAGAGACCCTGTGGACAAATATCAAAAATGTCATTTGAAAAAGATTTATGAAACATCTATCAGTGCCCCCCAGGCATCAGCATTCAGAGTTATCAACTGCTCCCCTGTTGTGGTCTAAAGTAGGAGCCTGTATTGCAAGGACAAAATAGGAGTCTGAAAACGAGTCTGAGTCATACTTGTTGCAAACATGAAAACCACTGTGTTTCGGTTGGCCTTCCATGAGAAGAGGCCAATGTCTCAGGCACTTCCAGTCGCCTTGGTGGAGGATGCAGGCAGTGTCGAACAGCCACTACAAGGGCTGTCTTTTAGTGCAATTTTTCATGCAATTTTTTTCACACACAAAATCATTTTTCCTAAACATGTCTGTGTAGTTAGTTGTAACGACAAAAACCATTCTCACAGCCTAGTTTATAAATATCAGTATAGTTCTAGACAGCATTCAAATAGTGATACTCTGTTGTGTCCCCTTGTTTTTCTATTTGTTCATGAAATGGAGTTTTATGACTTATGTAAATATACATTTTATACAACTGTATGTGAGGGGGCTTCAAAGGCTTTTTAAAATGAACCTTGTAAATAACTGAATTTCCCATGAACTCTGTGTCCCTCCTTCGGTACTTAGGGGCTCTCTAGGTAATCTGTCCCTGACTACAAGGCACAACTCCATGCTGCTGTATGTCCCGAATCTTTTCCTAATGGGCTCTGGTCACTGCTGCCATTATCACCCCATTGTAACGATGTGTCCAACCATCAGATTCTGCCTGCATATACTACAAGCATGCTCTGCCTTATCTCTCCCAGGGTATTTGCCATTGCAGATTTAGTCAACTTAATTCAGAGAGTAGTGATGAGAGTTGGGTAACAATGTTTAGGAAACTGGACATTGGAGATGCTCCCCAAATGTTTAATTCTGTTTAGTGAGGCAAACATATTTCTACCAAGTATATAGAAAATAAACTTTATTTGGGTTTCCATCATATTTCCAGGAATTAGAGGTAAAACACATCCATAAAGCATGGGACTCTTATGTTACTAAAGTGCCCTTGTGTACATTTTAGTTTTAGTGCTGTTGTGGTTGTGTTATTATTTTCTGTTTGTAAATGTGGAGGTGGCATAATTTCTACAATTTTTTTGTTCTGCTGTTTAAGTCATGCAGGAATGAGCTTCTTCTGGTATGAGACATCGTGCCCTGTTAATAACAAGAATTCCAGTTCTTTGTCACAGCAAACAGATCAAAAGCTTAAACTATTTGGGTCGTATGTCATCAGGCAGTAGAATAAGCTCAGTCTCTTCGATGCCTGGCATATAATACAATGATTCTAGTTATCCACATGATTTATTTATATTCCCCATGTTGTTAAATTTTTATTAATCATTTCATGTTGTTAATTTTATGCTTATTTCTGTAAAGTAATTTGATGGTGGTGGTGGGGGTGGTGATGGTAGTATAATTACTGCTAGTATGTAGTTCCTAAAACTGATACATACTTTTAGTCTCTGTTTAATGATGCTCACAAAGTTAAATATACCAAATAAAATAAAGATGCAAAGTGACACTCGCATCTTGTTCATTCAAATCAAAAGGGAAACTCACTGCCACCGATTTGCTGCCGACTCATAGGGTCCTAGAAGACGAGTACAGCTGCCCTGGGGGTTCTGAGGGTGTAGATCTCTATGGCAGTGGAAAGCCTCACCTTTCTTCCAAGGAGCTGCTTGTAGTTCCAAACTGTGGCTCTTGAGGTTGGAAAGCCAATGAATTGATCAATTAGATTAAAAATATAGGGTTGGACACACTATAATCCCATTTAAAATAATAGAAAAATACTTTTAAACAGTGAAACCAGTAATGAGAAATCTATTTTTTAATAATGTAAGTTACAGCATACTTTAACAAACACCCTCAACTCAAATACTGTGTAAGTGAAAATTATTTTAATAATATTCCTAAAGTTAAAATACGAAATCAATTCACTAAGATTAATATGTATTATTGGTCTAGATGTATAACTTACATAGCAATTAATCAATATTTCTGTGTTTTCAGTTTATACAATAATTTAGGTTTATGGAAAACTGCAGCTGTTCATAACCTAGAATATAATGCATATCCCCTGACTTTGAGTCGATTCTGCCGATTAGCAAAGCTCCAAAGGGTCCCCCAGGCTTTCCCTCCAGGAGGAATCAGGTAACTGGTTTGTCTCCGATGGAGCTACTGTGGACCCTGAACCACGTGTGAGCTGGGCAGCAAACCCAAACTCCCGAGCAGTACGAGGGCACCTTTTAGAGGCTCAAATATCAGAGGACTACTTCAGTTTATTCATCAAGACATGGAAGGGTACATAGAAAAATCTACAAATACATATACATATTCATAGAATATCTAGTCCTATCTCTTTAAATGATAGTTAAGATCTTTTCATAGCTCCAAAGTGAAAATAATTATCTTAAACTATGTAATTTGTAAACAAGGTGGTCAATTTCTGAAAATTGACATTTATCATAACTCATGTTTATGGCAAAGTTCAGAAATAATTCGTTGTATATTTTCCTCTGTACTTCCCTGCTCTATCATATTGTATAATGGGTTATAGATATGAGAATTCTGATCAATAGTTCAATGGAGATTAAAACTTCTTACCATGGGAGTCATAGAAGATGATATTGTCCTTCAGAGTGTCAATCCTAATCATAAATGAAAGAATTATTTTATCTAGCACCACCTTCCACTTGTAGAAAGCTAGAAGAGGATTCCTGCAGAAATTACAGATGTATATTTATGTTGTTTGCAGAAATTACAACTACTAGTACCTGCTTTGACTTTATCTATTAAACAGACAAAACGTACAACTAAACAACAACAGAAACCTACTGTCAGCCAATCTATTCTGACACATAGCAGCAGCCCTCCAGGGCAGCCTAGAACCTTCCTGTGGGTTTCCAAGCCTGTGAATCGTTACAGGGTAACAATGCCGGGGCTCATGTTTTCAGCCTGTGAGCATTGTTCTTAGCAGCCCTACATATAGCTCACTAAGACACAAAGTGTGTGTGTATGTGACGTGTGGGGGTGGAGGTAGGGTGGGACAGGCAATTTGCCTTTACACTGGAAAGAATCTTTTTTTTTAAAATTTTTAGCTCAGGTCAAGTGTAGAAACCTTCAAGGTTATCTAGGTCAGTAGAAAAATGTTCTCATCATTGCTCAGACTGATTAGCCTTCTACACGTACACGCACCATTTATGCCATCAATTCCTTACACACATGCACACACGCACCACCACCCCCCGCCCCCACCCCCCCCCACACACACACACACAAATTTGTACTCTTGCTTCCCAGAGTGATGAAGATCATGCCTCAGGTAGACCGGAAGGGCCTTGGATGCTCAGATTTGGCTATTTTCATCATTGATTCTTTTTTTTTTTTTTAAGTTTAATTTTTGCAAGGACCAGTGTAATATTTTTGTGGCCTTTTAAGAGAAGAGTAAACAATCCTATAGCCAGAAATAATGATAGAGCAGCGCTGGTAGGATTGTGGTGAGCAACAGCTGCCTCCCAGAAACAAATTCCAGGTATAACCTTAATATTGCCACTGCAGAAATATGGAACTTTGCGTTTGGACAATAAATTACACACCTAATCCATATGTATTATTGTGAAGGATAATTTGGACCGTTTGATTGTCATAGTTTCTTCCTAAAGTACACATGAATTTTATAAATAATATTGCAACATTAGAGAACATTTTGTATTCAAAGTTGAAAAGCAACCATGTCTTTAATAAGATTTCATTGAAAAATGATTTTTAAAACAATTTTGTGTCCTAATAAAATTCAAGAAAGAATGAAATATATAAAACAATATATGAATAGTAAATAAAGAATATGATTAAAGAGAGTAAAATAGCAATATGTGGTAAAAGAGACAAAAGGTGGAAAAGAACTGAAGATATAGATAAAACAACAATAACAAGATTCAGTAACAACTAATGCCAAACCCTCGTTTGAAACGTCCTAAGAGAATAGTGCTAGTTATTTTACAAGCGGGTATTTTTTTCTTTTTTTTAGAAAAGATAATCACCAAAGTATTTAGCACAGCCTAGTATTTTCCTTTTGCTAATCAAGCAAAGGCAATGTTAACAGAGCTAATTTACTTGACAGGCAATTATCAGTTTGTATCATCCTGGTGAACAAGTGATTGTTCTTCCCCATCTCATAATATTCAAAAAGAAATCTTCCAAGCGATGAGTTGGCAACAATAATGGATCACTAAGGAGAAGCTGGACACCTGGAAAGGTAACACCTGTGTCTCCAAAAGGAACTTGGGGAAAGTGAGCCAGGAGAGCAGAAAAGATGCAGAGGCGAAAAAGAAGGAAACAAACAAACAAACAAACCTTTCACTTCTTTCCCAATAGCCTTGTATTGCAATTTGTAAGTAGTCAAAGAATGAAGCAAAGGGTGAATTTAAGACAAAGCTTTAAAATTAGAAATTATTGTATGATATATTCATTTCAAGGTAAATTAAATTTTGCTCAAATAATTAAAACAATCAAATCCACCCCAAAATAAAATATTATGTAAAACTCGGATATAGTCTTATAGCTACCAATGCTTGAAGACTATGAAGGAGATATGCAGTGCTTTGAAAAGCAAAGTTAGTAAACATAGAAACTACAATTCAATTAACTGCTCATTCTCGTTCTAAAATTATTTCTGTCTGATAAAAGTAATTTGATCCCTTCCACCCACCTTGAGTTAAACTTCTTCACAGCTGCAGCATTCTATCCAATTTATTTTATACTACTCGAACAATGTAAGTTCCTTTGAACTGATTAAAGTTATCTATCACTTAAGGTTTTTTAAAATTTCTTTGCTTTAAATAAAATATGTCCAGAATTATTTTATAAATTGGATGTAAACTAAATTGTGCCTAAAGCTATAAAGACAAATTTTACTTAAGTATATTTTAATGGGGTAATAAATGCAATCGTTATTAAAATATCCAACTCTTCATGAAAATATTCTTTAAAATTAATATTTATATTCAATTAATTTAAATTATTTAAGTAAGTAATCTCCAGCAGCATTCACCACAGAAAAAAGAAACATTGCAATTGAAAATAAGAAAATTGAAATTATCAAGTATAAGAAGCAATAGAAACTCCCAAAAAGTGAATACCTTTGGAAAACCATAAAGAATACTAATATACTAATATACATATGTTTAGTGTTTTAGAAGGAAAGAGAAGCACATTTGAAAAAAAGTAATGGATGAAATTTACCCAAATCTGCTGAAAAACAAAACAATGCACATTTATGGTGCTCTATAAATTCAAAAGAAAAGAAACTCAGAGAGATCCGCACCAAGCACTTAGTCATGATGTGCTACACTTTGTGCCTTAAGTTTGAATCAATAGCAGTGGGTTAACCTCTTTTCAACTATTGTAAGTTTATCCTATGGACATCTGAGTATATAAATAAAAGAGAAGAGTTGATTTGAAACACTCAAAACTGATCATTGAAGATAACATGTAAGGTTGGATTGAATGTTAGAAGCACTTATCATTTGATGGGCTCAGTTTACTTTTCAGGCTTATCTCAGAATATAGTATTTCTTGTATATTTAATTAATTGTTAGGACTTTCTACAGATTATTTTCGGATGTCTTAGTGTATTTTAACCAGTTTGGCTGTTTCTCGCTTTGGCAACACATACACAAAAAACGTTCGTCAGGCTCAGTTTTTTTATGTGTTTATGACTCAAACAAAGACATCACTCCAATTTTTATTGGAGGATGTGTGACATTTAAATAGTGCTTTGTTACTTGTACCTCAATTAATGTCTGAACCTTTACTATTCAGCGTGCTAAATTTTAAAATTATTTTTTACCACAAAATAGTGACCTACTGGCCATCTGATAAATCTTAATGAAAATCGGAGAAACTAAAACACTTATTAGATAAGAACAGTATAAAATTAATGTAACAATATTGATCTAATGCCACATAATTGCAACACATGCATTCAACAGATGTAGGAATCAAGTTAATCATTTACTGTTCTAAAAGTAGGGGTGCGAAGATAGGTTGAAATTAACTCAACAGCCTTGGGTTTGGGTTTATTCGGATCATAGGCTGAAATCTATATCATATGGACCATGATTGATAGTTGCCAGATGCAACCTAAAAAGATGACAGTATCCTTCCACTAAAATTCCAGTGTTTTTCTGGAGTGTAATTTCCAAAGCAGGTGAGGTTCTGTACACCTGAAAAACAGCTGACACATCCTTCAATATAGAGAACAAGTTACTAATTCTTTCTTATATGCATGTTTGCTATTAAATTATTATTATATGCATATTTCAACATTTTGATTGAAGCTTGCTTTTACAACAAGCCAGTAATGAGGTTGCAGTGAAGAGTAGAGCCTATAGTTATCATCTAAGAAAATTAACTGTCCATAAGCATATTAAATTTTATGTCCCTTCACAAAGACACAGCATTTTTTCAGAAAATCTAATGAATATTAAGCTTGAAACTCAAATGGTGGCCCAGTAAAAGTTTTTGGTAAACAGGGAAAAAAAGCCTGCATTTGTCAAGACTCATTTCACTTGAATCCACAACCAATGCCCGTGAAGCAGAAATCAAGAACTCAAATCTGCTGCAAAAGACTAGACACATGCGCAAAATGAAGATGTCCCTTGAAGACTAAGGTATGCCTGACTCAAGGCATATGATTTCCAATTGCTTCATATGTGTGCTAAAACTGAACAATGACTGAGAAAGAATGGAAAAGACTTGCTGCCTTTGAATTGAGGCCTTAACAGAGACTACTAATTATACCATCAATTATCAGGAGAATGAATAAATCTCTTAGAAATTGTACAACCAGAAAGATCCTTAGAAGAAAGGAGGATAAAACTTTGTCCTGTGTATTTTGGACATATTAACAGGAGGAAACACTTCCTGGTGAGGGATATAATGCTTGGTAAAGTAGACCCTCAATGAGATGGCTTGACATGTGGCCACAATAGGTTGTGATATAAATATAGTCAGAATTAGGAGGATCAAGCAAGATCGGGCAGTGTTTTGTTGTGTAGTGCATACGGTATCAGAGTCATAATTGACTCCCTGCTACCTAACAACATCTCTGAGTAATGCTGCATTTTACAAGTACAGAGTCATGTATTTTACTGGAAAGTTTTTGTTTGCTTATTTCTATGGTTATTTTCACAGTAGGAATCTATAGAACCAAAATTGTGCCATACAATTGATTTCCACACATAGGTACTCTATACTACTGAATAAGCTGCCCCATAGAGCTTCCAAGTTTATGGAGCAGATGGACACTTCTTTCAGGGGATGGACAGTATATGAACCACTAATCTTTCCGTTAGCAGTTAAGGGCTGAACCACTGGGTCATCAGGACTCTTTATCTGAATCTGATCAGGAACTTTATCTGGATCTGATTTGTTTATGGTTTCCTGTTAATACATATGTGAGAAAATATATCTCAGACTATTTAAACATCGGTGAAATAAAAACCTGCAATCCTATGTGTTTTTCATATTATGCCCATTAACTGGGTCAGGAGTCAGGATATATGCCCTTTTATTAAAGACAGAACCCAAACCAAACTCACTGCCATCGAGTCAATGCTGACTCACAGTGACCATCTTGGGTTTCTGAGAATATAAACTGTTCAAGGGAGTAGAAAGCCCAGTCTTTGTTCTGTGGGATGCTGGTGAATTCGAACTGCGAACCATGTGGATCACAATCCAACACATAACCACTGCACCACCAGAAAGCAGCCTTGCTTCAGAGGCAAGGTATAACAAGACTTGAGTGACATTTTTAAGTGTTTCACATAATTTAAATTGATTAGGAACATTTGATAAAGCTGTCAAGTCCTAGACAAATATTGAGTTTTCTGCCCCAAAGTCAATAAACTGATACACAAAGAGATAATGATAATGGTTAAATCATTCTGCTGGAGTAAAGGAATGTTTGATTTTTTTCTGAAATGGCTAATTGTGACATGAGTGAGCATCTAATTTATTCTCCCTTCACAATTATAAAGGAAATGGTCAGGCAAATGAGGGACACAGAGATAAAAAATAATAATAGCTAATAACTTGAGCAGAATCTATTATCCAAAAGTAATAATCCCTGAGTTGTATAAACAAGGGCTGTGGAAGATGAGGTCGTAGCTACCTCTGTGCTATATTTTTAGTAATGTGTACTGCCGGACTGCTCCTTGGAGACAAATATGGCGAGATGTCCTTTTACATACTTTGGACCAGTTGTCAGGAAAGACCAGTCCCTGGAGAAGAACAACGTGTTTGGTAACATGGAGGGGCAGAGGAAAAGAGGAAGACCCTCAAAGAGATGGATTGCCACCGTGGCTGCAACAAT